CTCCCCCCCCTCCTGTATTGGTAGATTGTTGACCAGATCGCCAGATGAGTAGAAGATTAGTTGAACCACGAAGGAGGAGTTTTGGACTGGTACGGAACGTACAACCGAAATAATCAGGTTGATTAGATAGGTTCGGAAAGCCCACGTGGGTGAAGAATTAGATTGGCTCGGACAGCCCACGTGGGTGAAGAATTAGATTGGCTCGGACAGCCCACGTGGGTGAAGAATTAGATTGGCTCGGACAGCCCACCCAAATAGGTTCATTAGATAGGTTAGACTAAGAGTTTCCCGAGGGTAGATAGTGGGTAGGTTCGTGGATACGCCAGTGCCAATGGATGTATTAAGATTGACGTAAGACGACGTTGGACAGAGCGTTTGTTGGTTGATTGCGGCCTCTATTTTCCCCACTGTTCGCGGCTATTGCTCGTGCTCTGTGTTGGTGGTATAGCGTTTCAGGAGTCGTTTTAGTGCATCGATGTTTCCGGAGGTATTGGTCAAAGACTCAAAATACGTAATACGATGATCGCAAGCCGGTTAATGAGCGAGCTCTTTGCGAATTCTCTAGACGTGGAGACGCAGGAGACGCGGAGGGACAAGTATCGTACTTGGTCTTTTGTTGAAGGAGAGGAACGCGTGAGAGCTGGAGCTGCTCGGGGACTCCTTGTGTGGCGGGCTGAGTGCTGGAGGTGCGTGGAGACTCCTTGTGGTGTGGCAGGGAGGCTGGTAATGAGCGGGTAGGCGTTCCTGCGAGCCGTATGCCTGATGAATGAATGCGTGAAGGGAAGCTTCAGCCTCTACGTGCTGCGCTGAACTTTTCATCATCCCAGCACGCATTGCAACTCTCCCCTCCCCCGTGGTCCTTGTGTCAGGCCACATACAGATTGTGTCGATGTTTAATTGGAAGTAGATAATCGGGTGGTTGTACCAGCCAAAACTCATTTACATATGATTGTGACATCTGCTGATGTACTTCACATTTGGGCAGTACCTTCCTTTGGTGTCAAATGTCATTCCGTACCTGGTCGTTTAAATCGGAATTATTCCATCTTTATCGAACGAGGACTTTACTAGGGGCAATGTAATGAACTTGCCCACGCTGTGATGCACTTCCGCGCCCTCTGATAAGAAGAAGGCGCATCGTGAACGTTCATCGAGAAGACTGACCGAAATTGCGATCGTTGAGATATACCACATTACGGTACGGTCAGATGCATCCCGGCAAATCTATGTTTGTTTGGCCCAACAGAAGGCGGAAGCGGATTCCGCCCGTACGTGAGGGCATATACTCACCCCCAAGGACTTTTTCAGCTTCTTATCCATGGACGTCATTAATGTCAGATGCATTCAGGCGAGCATGTAAAAGCAGTCAAATACTTATATATTAAGTTAATGTATTGCCTAGTTTCTTAATTGTATTGAATCTAGTATCGAGTCTCTTTTTATATTCTTGAAGAGTAATGTATGCTCTGAATGTGTATGGAAAGCAGGTTGGTCTCGTGACACGTGTTGTGTTCTGGCATGTCGGTCAGGCAGGCGGTTTTGCGTGGAATGCCGTAGATTCTCGCTCGTCCAGTCGTTCTTTTCTCTCGTGGTAGCCATAAGACGAGTTTCTCCCGTCTTGCCCCGACGTATGGTAAGGCAGCGGAGTGCACTTCGTGCTTGAGAAAAAAGGCGGAAACTGGAATCGAAAAGCCTTTCCTTTTTTGCGCTTTTTCTCTCTCTATAAAAAATAGCAATTCTAGGTTGCCCCTTTTGTCTAAGGGGTCAGCGATGGGAGACGGTTGATTGCAGTCTACGATGGGAGACGGTTGATTGCAGTCTACCTTAGCTGCAGCATTTGTTGTTGAACTGAACATAAATTTCCCCAACGGCCCCCCGAAACAAAAGGGCGGGGATGGGGGAAGGGGGGGGTGCCGTGGAGGGCGGGGGGGTTGTAACTGTGTAGCCTACAGTGTAGGGTGTTTCGCCGCCAAGGCATGGATGTAAACAGCGTCGAGAAGCGATGTTCACAATGAGCTAGAATGAGCAGCCCTTGGAATTCCTAATAGTAGGCCACGTCACTAAGGATCAACTGATTAATCCATCCATCCATCCATCCATCCATAGATACATAATGAGCGCATATGTAGAAAGCGCAGAGGTTGCTGGTCATATAATGGAAGAGATAGGCCCGGGAAGTCATGAGGAGGTCGGGCGGAACTACCTCCCTCGAATGTTACTTAGGGTGTGCCTGATCCTTGTCGCAGTCGGCATGGCAAGGCCGAGTGTTGGCGCTGTGTAGCGTGGCGGGCACCAGATCGCGCTTAGTTTGGCTATTCCTTGTCGCTCTCGGTACTGAAAGGCGTTCTTTCTGTTGGTGCTGTGGCTGATCCTTGTCGCTCTCGGGACTGAAAGGCATTCTTTCTGTTGGTGCTGTAGCGTGGTGGAAAGAGTACCGCGTTATTGTTCGGCCGGCTGTGAATGAGCCTCGTCTGGCACCACTCAACAAATGGGAAGAAGACAAAAAAACTATGGTGGGTGTAATGTACTACGTCGTAGCGGAACATACATGCATTTACGTAGATGGTGAGTCGTCCGGCGAGGCCCAATGTCTTATCTAGTGAGTGGGAGGATTTAAGCTGCCGCACGGCGGACGACGGTAATTTCTCTGAGGGTATGGGATTCTATGTTTTTGGATTTGTACGTGGCGTCTCCGCTCAGCAGATTTGGTAAGGAGGGGCGGAGGGGCAGAGGGGCGGGGGGCGCGGGGGGAGGCAGCCAGGATGTCGTCGCCTCCTTTTTCCATCAAACATCGCACCATCTTCCGATACGAATCCTTATCAGAGCAGCCTTCCCATTTGTACTCTGAGAAAATGTGTTTTCTGCAGTCCTCTCGCGTCGACAGAGGCTGGCTGCCCGAAAGGTGCCTGCTTTTGGGGAAGTGTAAGAAGCGAAGCGATTGTATATTGTGATGAACACTCTTCTCCGAGCAGCAAGCAGTCGACTGTGGAGATGACAACTCCAGACCGAACTGACTTCCACATTACGCGCGCGCGCGAGATTGAGAGAGAGAAATGGTGGGATGCTGCATTGGAATGCATGGTGGCATGGTGTGCGTGGGGAGGGAGAGAGAGAGAGGGAGAGAGAGAGAGAGAGGTGTTGACGTGTCATGGGGATCGCTCTGAGTTGCGAAAACTCTACGCTAGACCTAACTGTCGATGTTACTATGTCATCGGGATCGCTCTGAGTTGCCAGAACGACGTGGCTATGGGACGGTCGGGATGTGTCGAGACGCGCGCGCGCTAGAGAGAGAGAGAGAGAGGAAGTATGACTGGTTGTGACAGGGTTTGAAATCAAGCCTACTTGTACCTTCTAGAGCGCGGGTGCTCCTGGTTGGTTGATTGATTGTTTGATATCTCCTCCGGTATTGACGAGCTCTGCGGGTTTAGCACCGTGAAAAGTTCTGAAGTGTACAAGGCATGACCGGATCTGTTGCAGAAGCTGAGACTCAACCATCTTGCCCATGATGGAACATATCGGCCGAAACATGCCTATGTTGTGAGGGCCGATAGCTGTGTTGCGGGTGTCTCCCCTTCCATCAGTAGTCCGTTGAATAAGAAAATGAATGATGCCGATGAAAAAAATTAGCTTGGCCTCCTCACAAGGGCAACACACACTAATAGACCAATGGTCCAACCAACGGTTTTGCATTGCGTACTGAGTTTGAAATCCCAGTATGGTGGTAACCCCAATAAGAAGAGCTAACGTGGAAAGCATCATACCGGTTTCTTTTTCTTTTTTTTTTTTTTCTTTTTTTTCTTTTTTTGGATACCGGTTTCTAGTTCGAACTAATTCCATTTTTCCTCTCGTCGAAGAGTTGTCCATAGTTAAAAAAAAAAGAAAAAAAGAAGAGTTGTCCATAGTGACACGTCGAACGGCTAACAATCTGGCGCAGTGATGATGGTCATTGTCAAGGGAGAACGGTACAATTGTAAGATCGCTACCATGCAATGTCTGTCGCACAGACGAAATCCCGGTCGCCTGTGGTTCCTCCTCATTCTCTTTTTTTTACCTTTCGAAAGGGCGACGGCCTTTAGATATCATCATCATGATTGAACTGACCGGCCCCAGGCAATTCAAGAGTGATTTGATTCTTTTCATCTGAGGGTATCTGGATTCGAACTTGAGTCTGTAATTCAAAAATTCAGGGGTGTAGCAACTGCTAGGTCCGTTAGGTACCCTTCGTTCTTTTTTTTTTTCTTTTTTTTTTTTGGGTTCTCCCTCGTTCTTAGCTATTTGCGGGAAGGGTGCTATATATCTGGAGCCGTTCGTTTTGTTTTACAATGGGCCTCGCTGCACTGCTCTCGACATGCACGAAAGACAAAAAACATGGCGCTGTATCTTTCCATATTCTAGCGGAAGATTCACTCTCGTTTTGCACATTTCGAGAGTAGTGCAGCGAGGCCTTATGTTTGAAATTTGAATTGCATGATTCCCCTAAACATCTTTCTTCTTTTTTTCCCCAGTTCCGCAGCTAGGAACCTAAGTTCGTTGGACCTATTATGCTTTTTGTTTGATATGCTTTTTATATGCTTTTTGATTGATATGCGGATTGCTCACAGTGGCGGATGGGATCATCCTTGTGGAGCAGCAGCTATCGCGCTAAATAACGTAATTAAGCCACCAGTACTCGGCCCAGCTATCGGCCGGGGGGAAAAAATAGAGTAGAAACGTTTCCAGTTGGATGAATTTGGTCGCTCCTGTAGTGGCCCGTACGTTTCCTAAAATCCTGGCGCGTTAGCGGGCGCGACTTTAGGAAGTACTGCAGTGGTTTAAGCGGGGTGTCTGGGCTCCTAAGGGTCAGATCCCACTACCCTGGATTATTCATTTTTCACCCTCGATTACGAAGATCAACGGTCAGAAATGAACAATAGGGGCTAGTGGGATCTGGCCCTAAGTCTCCTCCCCCTCCCACACCTCCGCGCCCCCCCGTTCCACGGTCAGGCAGTGTGGGATTGCTTTTGGCTTTTGCAATTTTGAAATAGATCGGCATACGCTTAAGATCCCTCGGAGCGTGCCCGGTCGATAGAGTCGCATTCGTCGTAGGAGGTGTACGAATGTCCCTCGAAGCGTATGGATAGTTTTTTCTTTTCATGTTTTCGACGGATGTGGATTGTCTCCCTCCGTCGTTATCGTTAGCTTTTTAATTTTTAATATTTTGCCGATGTGGGTTGTTCCTCGCACAATTTGTTGTCCGGAAATGCGTAAATGGAGTTAGTGACAGGTAAACGAAAAGGACGCTCATCGTTATTTTGATTTTTTTTTTTTTATAATTATTTTGGTTTTTCGTGTCCATCGGTCCCTGGAGATCTCCTCCATTGAGGGGCCGGTGGAAGGGAGCGGACACATTGGTGGAGTGGGCAGCAGCGTGGATTTTGTCTATGAAGGAAAAAAAAGAAGAAACATCTCTCTTTTTGCCCAAAAGACTTGTTTCCTCGCTCTGTTTGAAGTTGACAGACTCTTGCAGGGCCGCGTTTTTGGCATATTTTGCAGTGGTTTTGTTTCTACGTCTATGTTTCCTGTTGTTTTCCCCTACCGTCTTCCCCCGAACATAACGCACCCAAAAGATGAATGTATACAAGCTAAATTTCCAGTTCGGTACAGCCGTTTTTCGGCATATTTTGCAGTGGTTTTGTTTCTACGTCTATGTTTCCTGTTGTTTTCCCCTACCGTCTTCCCCCGAACATAACGCGCCCTAAAAATGAATGTATACAAGCTAAATTTCGAGTTCGGTACAGCCGTAATCAGGGTGAGTTGTGCTCGGGGGAAGACGGTAGTCTAGTGTTGTTCATCGAGTCCTCGTTGAAACGCTCTCAGTGCTTCCCTCCTTCGCAGTCTTCCTTGTTTGGTTGTTTGGTTGTTTGCTATGATGCGGTGAGTAGCCTGTTGCAGTTATTGACTTCGTTTTTCGTTTTTTGGGGGATTTGTTGCTTCGTTCTCTTTCAGTCATCCTTTGTTGATGATCCGAGCATTCCCTTGATGAGGTGCGGAGATTACTTCGTCAAGGCGTTCAACAGTGTTACGCCTTCCAGCTTGATGTGGCAGAAGAGCACGCTCGTGAAGGCCTCAGAGGTATGTCACTTAAAATTCATGATTCAGCACTGGTAATTACCTTAAGCAACATGGGCATGAAGAGAGAGAGAGAGAGAGAGAGAGAGAGAGAGAGAGAGAGAGAGAGAGAGAGAGAGAGAGAGAGAGAGAGAGAGAGGTCTGGCTTCTGCGGAAGAATATTTGTGCATGTGATCCTTGTTCATGGGCCAGGCTTCTCTCTCCCTCTCTCTCCCTCAACAGGTAGGGGCGCGGTGAACAAGATGGCTGGGAGAGAGAGAGAGAGAGAGAGAGAGAGAGAGAGAGAGAGAGAGAGAGAGAGAGAGAGAGAGAGATGAACCAGCATAACAACACACCCAAACCGCATAAAGCCACGCCCAGCCCACATGCTACTGCGGCCAGCTCACATGATACACGCTGCACTCTGCCATCCCACATACTACCGCACGGCTCAGCTCACATAACCCGACACCCAATACAACAATTAACATGACCGTCACGGTTGATTGACTTAAAAAAAAAAGAACTTAGGCTGCTGATTGACCCCGCAATTATGTAACCGATCGAGTAGATAGAGAACATGGGTAATAACTGGAGCACGAGATGCGATTTTCTGTCTTGTGTGGTTCTGGAGCACGGTTGATTGACTTAAAAGAAGAACAAGTAAAAGTCTGCAGCAGCATGCTTGGGTAACCATCCATAGAGATTGACGGCCCCGGTTTTTTTTTTTTTTTTTTCTTGCCCAGTTTTTTTTTTGCTCTGGGTCGGCATTTGATTGGAAGCGGACGAGAAGAGTATAGGGCAGTACGGGCTGATTGTCTGGCTTTGAAGAACAAATTAAACGGGGAAATCGTGAGAAAAAGGTCGTTAAGAGAAGGTCAGACAGGCGAGACTGAAATAGAGAATCAGTCTGTGAGATATTCATCGAAAGAAGAGGATGGAGACGTGAGAGTGAAAACGTAGTAGCGCCTTAAATATAGGTTACGGGACCCTTAAATAAAGGTTACGGGACTGTCTGGCCTGGAAGTCCGGACAGGAGGGGGAGCCCAAGGGGTCAGCTTTTATTTCAGTAAGGTGTTGCGTGCATGTTGAGTGTGGAGCCCTAAATGCGCGTTTGTTTTAAGAAAGAAGCGTGTTTTGGCTTTTGAGGAGAAAGATCAAAACGTGGGTTTTACTTCCTCATTTTCACTACCACCATGGGTATCAGAGGGCCTTCGATTCTGCACTTGGTGCCGGATTTGGGTAGGCAAGCAGGCAGACATAGTGTGTGTGTGTGTTTTTTTTTTTTTTTTTTTTTTTTTTCATTATCCGCAGAGGTGTCACGAAAACGGAGTGGTTTTTTGAAGGGTATGTGTGAATTCGTGCTTCTTATATATATTTTTTTAAAGGGCAATGCCATGTCTTTGTTCTGTTCTTTTGTACTTGTTCAGGTCGACCTGAGCTCCCTGAGCGCTTCAGTCCTTAGATTGTTGGATGGAGTGGAAATGGGGTACACTCTGGAAGTTCAACAATTCATCCATGCAGGGTGGGGTGAAGCATGTTCCCCAAGGCACTCCTTTCCTCGCAGCTCACTTAGCGGCAAGTAAATAGTCATGTTTTGCCGGATCCCAGAGGATTCCACGGACTATTCCGCCGACTAGGGTGGCGGCGGCAGCTTAGGAGGCAAGTAGAAACGTTTGAAGTAGTGGCGGTCGGGGAAAAGATTGAGGGAAACTGGAACCGGGCCCGTACCCTGCAGGGAAAAAAAAGGTTTTTTTTTTTTTTTTTGGTGAATTCTTTTTGTGTCCGTTTGGTTGGCGTGTCTTTTTTTTGTGTTCGTTGAAGCGGACAAGTTTAGGTCCCTCACGACCACCCGCCCAACAAAACGCGCTACTACACAAGTCAACCTCCACTGATTGCGGTTCTGTGGGGACCCCGTTTTCTTTTACGGGCCGACGGGAGCGGGCCCAGCTTTTCGTTTCTTTTACAGATTCTCGATGCGTTAGAAGTGTGGGATGAGACCCTTAAACCACCAGTACTTTTCCCGGCTTTAAAAACAATTCCACCGCGGTAGTGCCTTGGGGGAGGATGCCAGTGGGCCAAAAGAAAAGTGGCAAATGGACTGTTGCCCATCTTGAACCAACGACCCAATAGATAGGGTAAACACTGTGTGTAATCTGACTAAGCTTCCCTCCGAACCGTGGGTGTGTTTCCACATGCATAGACACCAGGGCATCGACTTCAAAAGAAAGAAAATAAAATTTTCATTTTCAGGGCACTTGCATGCAAACCATGTCGAGGATACACATCAAATCTGGGAAGTATAGATTTTGATTTCAGGCCGAGGTTCACGGGGAGGCAATCCCCTACAGAAACATGAGGGGAAAAAAAAAGATTGAGGTGTCTGCCAGCTGGGCAGGTATCAAGGGCAGATTCAGGGCCTCGCTGCACTACTCTACAACAGTGCAAATTGAGAGTGAATCTTCCGCTAGAACATGGAAAGCGAGACCGGCATATTTTTTTTGTCTTGTGTGTCGTGCACACCTTGAGGCAGTTGCAGCGGTTCTCTTTGCTTTTGTTTTTTCCTAGGAAAAAGGAAAAAAGCGCAAAGAAACTGACTTACCTCGTTTGGGCACGTTGCACATTGTCACAGATGGTGCACCGTGAAGACAGTAGAAGAACGTTACAAAGCCCTCTGCCAGAAGGCAGAGGGACTGACAAGGAAAGGGTCATTTGTCGAGCCACTAATGTGGCCGGGGTTGTGGGGTGGATGCATCTTCCGGCTATTGCTGGAAAATGAGAACCATTTGCCTGTGAGCTCGTGTGTGAGCATACGAGGTGGAGGGAGCAAACTGGGGCGCATGGCAGCTTCTTTCAATTCCCCCTCCCCCCTTTTTTTTTCATTTTCCGGGAGTGAAAACAGCTCCTTTGTTTTCCGTGTGCTGGTGGGAGGTCCAGCACCTCTGTTTCACAGAGGGCGCGGTATCCGTACTGCCCTCTTTTTTCCATGAGCTGGTGCCTTATCCCTTTCAGGCTAGCCAAAATGCCAAAAATGCCGCTGAGGGCGTTTAAAGGCTCCACATCAATAGCTGAAACCATCGGCACCTTTCCCCGCTTGAAAATAGAAGTTGCGCTGGTATTCGGAAGCCAAGCGGTAAAGGGCACCCGTTGATAATTTCATCGGTGGCCCATTTTTTGTTTCGGGCCTCTGAAACTGCCCGCGGCGGATACATGGGAAAGGTGCCGGTAGTTTAAACCACTACCGCCATGCTGCGGGCCTTTGGCAAAATGAGTCCCCGCTATGGTAACCGCCGGTGGCGGATACATGGGAAAGGTACCGGTAGTTTAAACCACTACTGCCATGGTGCTGGCCTTTGGCAAAATGAGTTCCCGCTATGGTAACAGTGGGCCGCGGGGCGGATGCATTTTGTTTCGGGCCTCTGAAACTGCCGGCGACCGGTATATGGGAAAGGTACTGGAAGTTTAATCCACTACTGCCATGCTGCGGGCCTTCGACAAAATGAGCTCCCCTTATGGTAACAGTGGGCCGCAGATCCATTGTAAAGACTAGCTTGAGCTGAAAAGGCAGGCGGTCCCTAGTAGGCCCAACCCCGTTTCAGTTTGGACCCAGGGTCGGACCCAAAATGTGATTTGGCAATATAGGCTCAGACGGGGTGGTGCTTTTTGTTTTTGTTTTGGTGGTGCTTTAATCTAGTGAGTGAGCCTTTTTTATTTGTTTTATATAACAGGCTAGAACTTTGACTGTATCTGCACTCTTGTATAGAAAGCTCCTTTGTCTGAAAGGACCAAGTACGCCGGCCAGAATGTGTCTGAACATCCATATGTCCAGGCGCAGATCATGTTAAACCACCAGTACCTAGCGGTTGTTAAGGCCCGCGGCTCAGCCTACCGGTATCCCGAACCTTGCCAAGCC